TACCTATAATTTATAGCCTCGGGAAACCCCTCTATTATTTTTTTTATAGCAGAACTACACTTATCTTTCGTCTTGTGTTGTGACGCGTCAGAAAGGTATCGGTTTCATATATTTAGTACGGTTAGAACTATACTTGTGTGTCGCGATGTGTCGACACCGTTCTCACTCTAACCGTACTACTAAATGTATGGAACCGATATATGTGTTATGCGTCACAACACAACACGACACGACGGATCAGTATTATATATTGCTACCATTAGTTCATGGTTTTGTTTTCATTCATTCATGTTTAAATTTTGCTGGAAGTTAAAAAGAAATCATGTAGTTATACATTTTGCGACAGATTAGGATTGGGATATATGAATAATATTGTAAGACAAAAAATACATGAATGGCCATAATGAAGCTGGCCCTATTTATGCTATGGAAGATTATTTTTGAATTCAGATTAAATATATTTATTTTGACGTTTTGGTTAAATTTTATTTGTCTTTTATTTTATAAAAAAACAGAAGTTAATTTAGCGCATTTTTTAAAGCGCGTTTTTCTTGAAATCTAGCGCTTTTTATATCGTTTTAGCGCTCAATCGGATTTTTGATCTGGCAGCTCTGGCCGGGCGGCGGAGGTACAGACCTCGTGAGCCTGTTGCCCGGGGTTGGAGGTTTCCAATTTTTTAATGGCTGCACTTGATAGATTTTGTAATAGATTTTATAGGTATTTTAATCGATACCTTGAGATCAGTGCTGGATTTATTCACAGCTTTGGCAGCTTTAAGAGCCTCGGATAAGATTTCACCGAAAAGAAATTTACCTATCTTCATATTGGACAAGTGTTACTTCATGTATTTTTTGACAGAGTATAATGCGAAGTTACGCCTGGTGACCGAGTCTGTGTGTTGGATATCACATAAAAGACGAGCTGTGTCCATAAACTTTTTGATGAGATCTCGATTGATGTGCGAAGAGTTTAATTGCTGCGTCATTGCCGAAGAAAGGCATGCTATAGTCGTTGCTATCTGCTTTTTTTTGGGTTATCCCTCTTTTGCATGGTTTCAGGCAACACTGCCTTTATTTCTGCTTTAAGTAATGGGGCAGCATGTCAATAGTGTTAATGGGTATGAGATATTTGCTTGTCAGTTTCTTATGAGATTTTTTAAATTCCCTTTCTAATTTCTTGAGTTTTTGTCGAAATTAATTAAAATTTTCTTGGTCTCGGCCTCTTTTTGCCATTTTTATAGCCAAGTTAAATTTTACTTTGTTAAAAAGCTGTTAAAAGTACAAGAATAGTTTTATTTCTAGTGCGGAGTAGTCGCGGGAGCGAGCGATTGGCAGAGCTAGGCTCGGTCTACCCACGCGCTGTTACACGAAAGTTTTTTAAATATCTCCTCAAATTAGTGCAGAGAGTGGTGTCACATAAGCGTTCCTACACAAGTCAATTGATTTTTTTTTACAGGTGTTACTAAATTGAGTACGAATCACGAAGTATAATTATAACAGAACTTCACTTAGGTAGTTGTTTCTTAGGTTTTCATGCACATCACTCATTAAATAAAATTATTTTTAACGGGTTAATGCACGAACTTGAGCTGAAAAGGCTGCGAAACCTCAAGAAATAAATAAAGGTCGTGCATTAACCCGTTAAAACTAATTTAATTCACTTAGGTAAGTTCGTTTAATCACATAATTATACCTTATGATGTTTGAAGTCAGGGTTGTGTTTAAGTTGTATACATGGGTGAGTTGAATAATAAAATAATCGTGTATGTTTTATTGAAATTATGTTATAGAACATGTACATAAAATGACCTATGAAAACAATTCTTAAAATCGAATATTATAAAATATTTTAATATTTATGTGGTGTACAATATAACTATGATAAATAACTACCTATGATAAGTATACTGTAAAGTAATCTATGAAATAAAATGATATTAATTTGCATTTCTCAATAATAAATCAGAACAAGTTATCATTGGTTGAATTACAACTTAAATTACTATAGTTTTTATCTCAGACAGGAGAGTTGTATTATGAATGGTACCGTTTAAAATTTTGTGAGAAAGAAGATTTCAAAATATCGCATTTATTTATTTAGGTCAGGTAACGGTTGTTAGTTACCTTTCAACAATAGGTCGATTATAGTGTTGCCGTTTTGGACATACACAGTTCCAATGTAGGTACCAGGTCCGCTGCTCCATTTGTGCCTAACCGCATAAGGGCCGTAACAAGGATATACCGACATGCTTATTCTGTTCTGGCCAGCATAGAGCGACTGACTCGTCCTGACCTGAGCAATCAAGGTAAAGGCAAAATTAAAATCGTAATGTCATAGGAAAATGTCTCCTACTCTGAGGCCTCCGCTAGATTTTCTCCGGTCAGGTCATTGCTGACACTGCTCGTAACGATAATAGTCTCAATACAATAAAAAAGCCATAGTCTAAGTGGCTTCGAACTTGGCCGTTGTAAAGTAGTTTCTGACAGAAGGGATTCGCTCCCCACCAGCTTTCAGATAGAGACCGAAGAATATTTATATTTTTTTCACACTTTTAACTACGTGGGCGATGTGATGAAATCCTATCATTTTCGAATCAAGGACCAATCCAAGAAACTTGGCCTGGTTTTTCAAGGGAATGGGTTGGCTCTCAACATCGATATTAATATTTGTGGTGTTCCTAGAAAAGGTAAATATTACAATATTACTCATCTCAACTGAAAGCGAAAGGCCATGGTCAGATGACCAGTCATGTAAATATCGAGGCGGAACTTAGCAGATTCAGGATTAGACATATAGCATGTTATAAGACGTCAAAGAATGAGTTAAAAGAAAGCTCTAGATAGTATGTTTAAAGATTGTACAGAAGAGGGCTTAGGACAAAACCCTGAGGTAGACCTTTCCAAACTTTTCTTGGTGAAAGAAGAGAATTATTTAAACAAACTTGATATCCAGATATCTGACAGAAAAATGCTAAGGTTTACCATGGTACTCATTCCTTTTCGAAAACCGATTTGGCTTTTAGCCAGAGGGCCTCTGCATTCCACAATCCAGTCAAGCCTGTTTTTAAATAAGTGCTATAAATTTTTTGACATGGTACAAGAAAGAGCAATGATAGGATTTCATCACATCGCCAACGTAGTTAAAAAGTGCGAAAAAATCTCTATCTGGAACCTGGTGGGAAGCTCCTCTCTTCTGTCAGAAGCTTACAACGCCCAAGTTCGAAGCCACTTAGACTATGCATCTTTCTTACTGGAACCCTGCCTTAAATCATCACTATTTATTTCTAGAGGAACCATTGGTATACTGGGGCTTTGGTGTCTCCACTATACTTCTATAAAGGTGTTGATTGTAACTTGCACTAACGGCAGGAAGGGGGGATATCTGGGTTGAGTGATCGTTTTATGATAAGATGTAGACTGGAACTGAGATACTAGAGTGTGAAAGGATGATATGGAGGAGGGTTGTATTGAGACCATTATCGTTTCGAGCAGTCTCATCAATAACATTACGATTTTAATTTTGCCTTTACCTTGATTGCTCAAGGCAGGACAGGTCAGTCGCTCTATGCTGGCCAAAACAGAATAAGCATGTCGGTATATTCTTGTTACAGGCTATACCCTCATGCGGTTGGGCACAAATGGAGCAGCAGGCCTGGGACTTACATCGGCAACATTTATTGTACTGAATAGTGGAGAGCACATAAGTCTCAAGCGGAAGGGACGTGTAAAAACAGTAGACATATGAAGGCAGTTGCTATCCCCTAAAAGTTAGAACAATTGTCTTAGGGGATTCGCTCAGGGGCATTGTTTGTTAAAATTTTCCTACGTAGGATTTGTGAAATTCCTGCGGGCCTGAACTATTTGGCCAAATCCTGTCGGGATTTCCAGGGAGTCCACTAGTTCTTCCTATCTCCACTCTACTGGACCTGCTATATCACACCCATAACTTGTGATTGTAGCGCCGCTTGGACAAGTATGTGATCCGAAGCCTCTAACATGAACACACTTCGCATAATGCCGGATGCATTATGTGCCTCTCGAAGTCGGCAGTTTAGAGTCGGCACGAGGGCGTCACAGGCCGCCGTCAACGCGCATGAGCCCCCCCCCCCACGTCGCGCGCAAGACGTCACGCGACTGCACGTTAACACCAAAACGCGCTTACGTAACTGCGGCCGCCAGCCGACCCGTCGCTGTCACACAACCACTTATCTCACGAAGAAGGGTAGCCAAGACATCCCTTGTGCAACTCCGGCGGAATCACGAATTACTATAATTGTGACGAAGAGGGTTTCATCACAGTAGAGACGAAGAAGAGGAAGCCCGCTAGTCGCAGTCTGTGCGGTGTCGCCTCGATCGGACCGAATAACCGGCTGCGTGCAGCGATACCTGTGGCGCTGCTGTATGTATCCCGCTTTCATTACGCTATGAAGGCGGAGAAGATCGCAAAATATTTGCGTACGAATACCAAGTTCTCCCTGAGGGTCGCACAGTTGGAGTTTGGCCATGACGTGAATTTTTAATTCATTTGTGGTGAGAGTGCCGACTGAACATCTAGCGACCTTTTTGAAAGAGGATCTTTGCTCCCCTACATCTATCCCATCGTGTGGGATATCGCTGAAAAGATCTTTTAGTTTCACTTGGGGGTTTTTAAGACTATTTTTCGATTTAGGAATCCGTTTGCGAAATATTGAACTTTAAACTGCTAATTTTTGTTCGAGTAGGGCTCCCCTCCGCACTGCACATGGCACGACACGCACTTGACCGGCTTTTTTGTAGTACAATTCTTAACATCATACAAAAATTTATTTGGTGTCTTTTTCACGCACCCGTCCAGTAAAAACCATAAATAAAAACAATAAATCTTTTATTTTAGCCAATTTCTGGGATAAGCGATGTGATATCATAGGTAACATGAATAAATACTAATAGCAATAGGGCATAGCATAGTGTGGTTTATGAATGGCTCGGCCGGTGTTTGGCAGCAGGGTCAGGTAAGTGCCGAGTGGCGCGGGCGGGGCGCGAGCGCTGCGGCCGTGGCTCTCATGAAGACGATTACTTAAGTAATAGTATAGCGATCGGCCTCACATTAGAAGAAGGTACGGCGGTGCGTGTTGTGGTCGCCAGAGGTTTATTCGCGTTGCCACGCAACACGAGTGGTGTAGTGTTTCGTGCGGACGCTGCAGAGGGCGGGGAACACCCCCATAGAAACTTTTTAACCCCAGTGTAGCACCCTGAGGTATCCCACCGGACTGGTGATCCGCTCAGGATGCGAGGACGCGATCTACTATGCACGGGCGCCCTGCTCATTGCACTTGTGGCTACAGGTAAATACAAAGCTTCAAAACTAGCGAAATATTAAGTAACTTTTATTGCACATATTTTTGGATGTTTATAAATAACTCATAAATGTTACTATAAAGTGTAACCGAAGTATTCTCTCTTTTGAAAGTTCGTCGATAATATTAATTCGCATAAAGTTAATCATGTAAAAAAGATTAAGTTATTTTTGACTGTGGTGTAGTGAGTGAAATGATTTAAACTTGCCGTTTACTCGAAATACTTCCGATCTCATGATAAGATTACAATTTTTATGATTTCTCTTCTCTTCAAAATTAGGGAAATTATATTACAACCTTCAGTGAACTTTTTGAGTGATAAGTTTACTGGATTAAGCGTTTAGTGTGTAGGTAATGAATATACTCGTAGATACACATATGAGTGATATAGCTTTCTTAAAATTAATTACTTTGGAAAGGTTAAAGATCGGCACCGCCTTAAAAACATGCTATTACCTAACAGGTAGTCCAAATTATGTTTGCGCTCCGCACTCTCTCTAGTGATATTCATGTTGTGAACACTCCATTAGATCATACACATGTTGTACCTATGATGCTATAATGAGCTCGACATTTAAAGGGAACATGAGTGACGATGTGTATATTTTATTTGCGTAACTGAACCGAAATCAGTTGGACCTAATGCGGGCCCCCAGATGCGACCTCGTTTGCTTAATATTTTTTTTATTAACTTACATAATGAATTATACCTTTCCAAATTAACTTGTTATAATTGTACCTTATTACTTGCTTTCGAATGCGAACTGGAGACCAAGGGTGGCAGTTGGACAGTTTTCGTCTTCAATTATTATGGAAGTGTTTTCCCTAGATGTTTAGTGTAAGCCCTTCAGGGGCATCGCTGTCAATCTTGAAAGTGACCGCGAAATACGGGTGCCTCCACGCGGGTAATTACAGGCGCTACGTTGGGCGGGTTGCATGACGGCGTAGTCGTTGTATTTAAATTGTATTTAGTATGTACTTTAAGTAAAGCTAGCAGCTTGGTAGCAACCAATTAACGAAATATCTTAAAAAAGTAATTGCCAGACGAAAGTCAAAACTTTGGTAGAGTAACCAAATTACAGAAGATGCTGTAAAAAGTCAATTTCCTACAAAGTTACACCGATTATCAAAATAAACACTAAAGGCAGCCGATAGGGAAGTTATCTCTTTCTTAGCAATGACTTTGGCTTAGCACTGAACAACAACCATTCAAGATTAGTTTTCGAGAGTATACGCGACGAGCTCTGTTGAATTCGCTTGGTCCGCTCCACTTTAGACTTTTTCTATAGAAATAGTTGAATGAAATGTTGTATGAGTTGTTAGTAGAGTTGAAAATACGAAGACTGCTCGGATCATTCTCAAATTTGTAATCTCGTCTGTAACTTTTCATCTCATTCCCTCAGTGCAGTTCACTCTATTTCGTTTTTCCTTAGAAAACGTTTGTACCTCCTACTAATTTTATCGTTACGACTTTCGGGACGCGAAGTCTATAATGGGTCTTGGAACACAATAAAAATCCTCAACAGATTGATATTTTTCCCCCGCATCCTAAATGTATAATAAATAATATATGTGTAATGAGAAAAAAACAGCCCTTGCTGAGTTTCTTGCCGGTTCTTATCAGTACAAGGTCTCTAGACATTCATGAGTGCTTGTAACTGGCTAAACTGAATAAATAATTTTGATAAATAATTTGCTAAATTGACAATTAAGAAAATATTTACTACTTTTAAATACCTATATAGGTAAATGTCACTACCTACTTATTTTACCGATAATCCAAATTATTTTGCAAAATTTCCAAATGGTTCTTTGCTGAAAGTAATTTCATTAGTATATTGTTAATTGCAACATCTTGACATGACAGGGTCATGTTTCATTCCATCACAATTACATGTATTAGTTATTTTCAACACATTTTCTCAAATATGCATCTATGAACAATGTATATGTTTAAAAATTAAAGCACGGTCCATACAGCGGAGCTTGCGGTAAATTTGATTACGCACGCTCCCATACATGGCACCGTGCGTATTCTTTACGTTTTTTTTATTAATTTCGATTGACCTCGGAAGCGCTTTTAGTCTATACCTATGTCTCACTTAAATACTAAAACCTGAGGTCCCGAGACATTAGTGTTCACTCTTCGCTGATGACATTGCTTTAGTCGTTCCATGCAGGGACAGGTCGACATATAATGATGAAATCAATCCTGCGATTGCTGACATAATAAAATGGCTCCATTGTAATAATTTGAAAGTTAACATGACAAAAACTAAATGCTTAAAATTTCATAATCAAGGTGGTAGAAAGCATGTGCTTTATCTGACATTCAATAATATAACAATTGATGAAACAAATGAGACAACTTTGTTGGGCATTACATTGGACAACTGTTGCACATGGAAACCACATACATATAGAAAAAATATGGACGAAACTAAACTATTTCGTATATGTGCTATGGTGTTTGAGTAAAATCAGCAACATACAGACAGCACTAAAAGCATATCATGGACATATTGCGTCAAATTTGAGGTATGGAATCTTGCTATGGGGTACTCAACAAGGGAAAATAACCTATTTTAGCACAGAAGCAGTGTATAAGAGGAATCTAATGTACCAATCCTTACCAGCTGTAAACTTCTTTTTAAAAAACTTGGCTTATTGATCTAAAGTGTAATTTTTAAGCAAATGTGTTGAGAAATATTTATTGTCAAAATAAATATAAATGACATACAAACATTTGAACTTAAAGATATCATATCAACTTGCTTTCAATAAATAATTATTTCCTTGATAATATTAAATAAATCAATTTAATTTTAGAGAAATAATTTTACTCTGAAAAATATAAAGGATAATATAAGGAATTATATGGAAAGATAACTATTTACGCCTTATGAGGTACTTACTATCTACATAAAACTACATAACGCACCTCCGGTGCGACACTGTCACTTATGCAAAAAAAACATTTTTTCAGAAGAAGCGTTTAAAACTTTAACATCCCAAAACATACAATATTTAAAGGTTTTTTTAATTTTTTTTAGATGAATAGCTAAGCTGTATAAGCTTTTCATCACGTAAAAATCTTATAAATATTGTATGTTTTAGGATGTTAAAGTTTTATGCGCTCATCCTGAATTTTTTTTTTTTGCATAAGTGTCAGTGTGTAAGTCGCAGAAATTTTAGTAATGAGGTTCAGTTAATGTTACCACAGGCACAAAACCTAGTAATAGACCCAGAATATACAAATCAAATCAAAGGAAATTAATTCAAAATTTCCTTTAAAAATTTCAATGTTGAGTTGAGTTATCAACAGCTGCGGTCGTACTTTAAAAATAAATCATCATGAACTCTTCTGATTGTAACGATTTCTGTGTCGAAATTCAGGTTTGGTTGGTAAAAAAATATTTACAATGATGCTAAGACCCGTTTATCATAAATAATGTCAAAAGCTGATTCATGCGATAATAATATGCAAAAATCTATACATAGTTGGCTGAATTATAATAGGTTTTGCTCGTGTGTCTTTACTTCGCCTAATGTTGATATCAAACAACGGATACTCTAATACAGAAACTGGACCAACCACTTTATATGCATGACATTGAATCGATTATATGATAATATCAAAATATATATTTATAACTGGGCCCGAATGTACGGTTTCCTGATTCGGTGTCCTGATCAGAAATTCCAATTCGGAAACCTGAATGAACGTCCGTACATACAATACGTTCAAGGAAACTGAAAAAAATATTAATGTGTGGGCCTTTCATGTTTTTCCAGGAAGGAAAAAACCTAACGTTCGGAAAAACCTAAAACCGAAATTCCGGATCGGGACACCGAATCTGTACCCTTTGTACGAGTTTGAGCTCACAAAACTATGATAGTTTTCGTAATTGTAAATTATGTTTCTATGTCCATTTTGGTGAAAAGTAACCAAATATACTTAAAATTTAAAAAGACGCAAATGATTTGATGATAGAATTTAAACACTTCGTAATTTTAAAACTCGCACTAAGGGTACAGTACCCTTAGCACGAACCAATATCAAATTGGAATAGTTTGCGAGTCCGAAATGTCAATGACATATTTCGTATGGAAACTTGAACAGTAGCGTCAAAACGGACGTTTCGAGAACTAAAAATCAGTACACGTTTGATAATGACATTTCGCACTTGCAAACTATTCGTAATTGATATTGCTTCGTGCTAAGGGTACTTGATTCCGTACATCTGCGCTCAGACTAAATGTTGTTCGACATATTAAGTATTATGTATATCCTAGTTGTCCGAACTTCGTACCGCCATAAAAAAATAGGGGTTGATTGTAAAGGGTTGAAAATTCAGGGTTATATGCATTTACTAATGCTGTATGATAAAAAAATAAAATTTTATCTAAAATTGAAAAAAAAGAATTAGGGGTGGATTACCCTTAACATTTAGGGGGATGAAAAATAGATGTTGTCCGATTCTCAGACCTACCCAATATGCACACAAAATTTCATGAGAATCGGGAAAGCCGTTTCGGTGGAGTTTAACCACAAACACCGCGACACGAGAATTTTATATATAAGATATATTATGTCAATGTTACATTCGTACAAACAATAAATATTGACATTGAGACCTGTGTTGCTCTATGTTGTTGACACTAAGTGGATGTTCACCAACCTTATAAATAAATGTATGAAAATTGAGAAGTGTGTCACAACTTCACAAGCTGCTGTCTCCACTCTCTTTAATTATTAATGACATTGGATGGTTATACTAAAAATTAATACTGTGTGGTTAGTTTCACTAAGGTCGAATGTTACCTAATCGTTTTTTAGGGTTCCGTTGTCCTGACGCTTATAGTTTCTTCATGTCCGTCTGTCCGTCCCCGGTGTTGCTTGGAGACTATTAACACTAGAGAGCTCTAATTTTGTGGAGATATGAATACATATCCATAACGCCGACAAAATTGCAAAATAAAATTTA